CGCTATAGAGCGCAGTCGCGCCATGGCACATCGCAATTCAGCACGGCGCAGCACAGCACAGCCCTTGGCAGGGTACATCAAGATCGATACACTCAGCATTGCATTTGCCCGTCACCCAATCAGGTGTCTTTGAAAACGCTGCCATGTGTTACAGTTCTATATTCCTTTCCGGGTTCGTGGGTCGATCATGTTGGCGATCTCGCCCGGTTGCGGCCCTCAGTCACAGACCGACCGGGCTCGAACAAATGGCGCAGAAGGATGGGGTCTAGGACTCCGGTCGTGCCTTCCCACGGCGTCGCCATGGCATCGCCACGTCGAATCTCCCGCGCCCGCGCGGCAGCGCTGAGCCACGCCGGCACTCGAGCACGGTCTGCGAGCCGGCGCGCTGGTGCCACACCAGGCTCTGCGCAGCAGCGCGACACCGCACGCGGTGTCCTCTGCGCGTCGTGGTGTGCGGAGCCCTGCGCTCTCGCCGGCGTGCCAGGCCCGCGCGGCAGCGCTGCTGCCGCACGCTGGCGCTCGGTCGCGGGCCGCGAGCTGGCGCGCTGGGCGGCAGGTGCGCGACGCCAGGCTCTGCGCGGCAGCGCGGCACAGCCCCGGCTCGTGGCGCGAGCGTTCTTTGGGGGGCCCAGGGGCGGGTGGGTTCCATAGCCGTGGCTGCTGGTGCCGCTGCTCCTCCTGTTCGCAGTCCCCACCTCCTGTCGTCGCAGCTTCACTCCTCCTCGTTCTGTTCCTGCTCCTCCTTCTCCTCCCTCTCCTCCTCCTCCTCCTCCTCCTCCACCTCCTCCTCCTCCTCCTCCTCCTCCTCCTCCTCCTCGTCCTCGTCCTCGTCCTCCTCGACCTCTCCTCCTCCTCCTCCTCCTCCTTCTCCACCTCCTCCTCCTCCTCCTCCTCCTACTACTCCTCCTCCTCCTCCTCCCTCCCCTCCCCTCCCCTCCCCTTCCCTTCCTCCCCTCCCCTCCCCTCCCTCCCCTCCCCTCCCCTCCCCTCCCACGTCCCCTCCTCTCACCTCCCCTCCCCTCCCCTCCCACTCCCCTCCCCTCCCTCCCTACCTTCCTGCTAACTTCTCCCTCCTCCCTTCTCCTACGCGGAAGCTATTGGCAGGTCCATACGTCTGCATCAGGGGAAAGCACTCCTTGCGCCGACGGCAGCAGAGCCAAAGAGGATCAAACCGACTCGTGCGATGGCGAAATATTATTTCAAGAAGGTCAAGTTCTCGGAGCACCAGGTCCACTCGGGAATTGGTTCCCCTTTTCACTGTGGCGCGTGTAGGTGCAGCGCCAGTGGCAGGAAGTCTGAGAAGTTCCTGGACACACCCAAAGGGTCGGTGATATTGGAGTGATGGTGCAGGGAGCGCCTGTTCATTTTTCGCACCTGCCGGATTACTTCAGCGACCTCCAGGTGCATGTGTGTCTTCGATGTGGGTGTGTTGGGAAGCATTACCTCAGAGGTTTGGCGGAGCCATGTTCGGGGCATTTGGGGCACTACAGCAGTCAGAACCTGCGCAGCCCGTGGGATCTTATCCAAAGCGAGGATCGTGTGTAAGAGGCCGACTACCTGAAGTATCTGATTCTACGCCCGTTTCTCTGTGTTGGGTTTCGCGATGTCTTATCCTGGCAGTGGTGTGTCTCGGGATGTGACAGAGCCAGCCTGGCTGGTGATCTTGGCTCATGTGTGCAGCAGTATCCTTGGGGCTGCTGGGGTGGTCCCGTTCCTCGGGTCCCCATGTGTGGCATATCTGCTGCTAGTTTTGTTATGGTCGGTACTTCTCTTGTGGCTTCTGGTATGTTCGTGGTTTTCTCCGCAGGGTTGTGCCAGAGCCAGCTGGTGTCTGGTGATCCTGGCCCTTGATGTTTCCTACTGGTTGTGACAGGGCCAGCTGGTGTCTGGTGATCCTGGCCCTTGATGTCTGGTCGCTACGATTCTTGTTGCTTCAGATTCTCGAGGTCGTTCTCTCTGAGGGGGTGTGACAGAGCCAGCTGGTGTCTGGTGATCCTGGCCCTTGATGTCTGGTCGCTACGATTCTTGTGGCTTCGGATTCTCGAGGCCGTTCTCCTCGAAGGGGTGCGACAGAGCCAGCGGGTGTCTGGTGATCCTGGCCCCTGACGAGTTGTCGTCCTCTCCGGCTTCGGCGAGGACGGCGTGGGTTTGGTCGTGAGCGGGCGGCCGCCCTCTCCCCTTCCCTCCTTCCTTCTTCCGCCTCCCCTTGCTCGCGACACGGGCCTCGGTGTATGCTGTGGAGACGTGCGGCCCGCGGAGGTACTAGATACTCCTCCTCCTCCTCCTCCTCCTCCTCCTCCTCCTCCTCCTCCTCCTCCTCCTCCTCTCCTCCTCCTCCTCCTCCTCCACCCCTCCCCTCCCCCTCCTCCTCCTCCTCCGCCTCCTCCTCCTCCTCCTCCTCCTCCTCCTCCCCTCCTCCTCCTCCTCCTCCTCCTCCTCCTCCTCCTCCTCCTCCTCCTCCTCCTCCTCCTCCTCCTCCTCCTCCTCCTCCTCCTCCTCCCTCCTCCTCTGCTCTTCTCTCCTCTTTCTCCTCCTCTCGCCTGCGCCGTCCTCGCCCCGCGTTCTGCCTCCCTCATCCTCGGCCCTGGCGGCGGCGGGACGCCTCGGCGCCGCGTGCGGCCCTCGCTGCACAGGACAGGGAGGAGACCGAGAGGAGGCTGGCGGACAAGGAGGCGCGGCTGCTGGAGCACCTCAAGCGGGTGCTGGCGGAGGACAAGGACAACAAGGCCGCCCGGCGCTGGCCCGTGTCGCGCCTCCTCGGCGGGAGGCGCAGCTGTTGTTGCGGCATCTTGCGGTCGTTTGAGCGGGGGGGCGGGGGGCGGGGAGGGAGGAGGAGGAGGAGGAGGAGGAGGAGGCTCGCACCTGATGTTGGTCTGACGTAAAACGGAGGAGGAGGACGAGGAGGAGGAGGAGAAGAAGGAGGAGGAGGAGGAGGAGGAGGACTGGGAGAGCGGCGGCCAGATAGTCCAGAGGATGGGGAGGAGGAGGACCAAGCCATTTGGCCTCTTGCGGGCCAGCCGATCCCGATCGATCCATCGGGGTCGGTCGGCGCCTGCCGCCCGATCGATCGCGGTGGCAGGGCGCATCGCGCATCGGCCAGCCCCCGAGGCCGGGCTCACGCGCGCCGCGCGCCATCTTCTGCGGCAGGGGGCCACCCGTGCCTCCCTGTCCCCTGCCGCAGGCCGCGGCGCTCGCGGCCGCGCTGCGGCCCAGCGGCGGGACGCCGCCACATCGCCGAGGAGGAGGTCCAGAGGGCGCTGCACACCGCCGCGAGCGGCAGCAGAGAGCCCAGGACAGGCTCCTGCTCCGCCTGCGGGCAGCGGCCGAGCGCCTGGCCGCCCACCACTCTGCCCAGCCAGCGATGGCACGAGAAGGGAAGGGCAGAGGCAGCGGTGGCCGAGGCGGCAAGGGCCACGCCCAGGAAGGAGCAGCACCGCCAGCAGCGCCCCCTTGGCGCCAGGAGAGGTGGCATGGCGCTGGATGGCAAGAGCAGCACTGGCATGCGGAGCCAGCAGGCGAGGACCCGCCCTGGCGCAGACCGCTATCACGGCCGCGGCGCTCTGGCCAGGCCAGCCCTCGCCAATGGCAGCCGCAACAGCAGCAGCAGCAGCCCAGCCAGCCCCCCTGGCAGCAGCAGCAGCAGCAGCAGCAGCAGCAGCAACAGCAGCAGCAGCAGCCCAGAGCGGGCAAAGGCGGCCAGGCCAGCTCCAGCAAAGCGGACCAGAGGGCCCAAAAAGTCATTGACTCTGTGGCAGCCTGCACGCTGGACGAGGCCACCTCCCACCCAAAGTGGCAGGCGCCCCCAGCCGACCGCGCAGGCATCCAGAAGTTTCTGAGCAGCGCTGACCAGAGGCTGAGGAAGCTCGGCGACCTGGTCATCGCCAAGCAGGCCGCGGGCGACAGCACGAAGGAGCAGTTGATGGAAATCTCGGTCATCAAATATCAGAAGCTGGTCACGAGGAGGCCGAATGACCAGCTGCAGGTGCTCAGCAAAAGGCGCAAGGCCGTCAAACTCGAAGTCATCGCCCTCGAGGCCAAGACGAACGAGCTGCGGGACGACCTCAAGGCCAAGCAGCAGGAGTTGAGGCAGCTCGAGTCCAACATCGCCGACGTGCGGGTCGTGCTCGCCGACGGCGGCGCGGCGGACGACGAGGGCGACTGGGACACGGACGGGTTTGGCTTGGCGCCGAGCTGGGATACCTTCCACAAGGCCGTGATCGATAGGCGCCTGAACAGCGAAGCACCTGGTGACGGACCTCCAGCTTGGCCAGCGGGAGTGGTGGGGCGCTCGCCACGCTCAAGAGCCAGCTCGGCAGGCAGCGCAACCAGAGGCTTCGCCGATCAGGTGGCTAAGGCGAATGCGGAGAGGGCCCACCAACAGCAGCGCCATGCCGAAGCCGAGCAGGAGTTTGCTGCCGAGCTGGCGGAAGTCAGGAGGGTCGCCCGCGAGCAGGCACTCCGCCGCAACGCCGAGCAGGCGAAGCTCAGGCTGGCCCTCAAGGAGGAGTCAGAGCAGCTGCAGCGCATCACCGTAGCGGAGAGCGCAGCCCAGCAGCAGCAGCAGCAACACAAGGCCCTCCGCCACGAGATCAAGAAGCAACAAGCCGAGCAGCTCGAGTTCGCGACGCAGATGGAGGCCAGGATAATCAGCCATGACGCAGCTTTCAGTCAAGCCAAGGCTGAGGCCGAGGCGGCGACCCAACGTGCAAATCACCTGCGAGAGCAGCTTGAGTATGCCCGAGCGGAGCACCGAGCGCAGCCGCAGCCCCAGGACAGGGTCTACCAAGACCTACTGCGGGCAAGCGCCGAGGCGCAAGAGGCATTGCGACAGGCCCAGCACGAGAGCGCCCAAGCGACAGCTACAGCCGGCACTCTCAAGCAGCAGCTCACCAGGCAGGAACTGGTCATGGAAGAGAAGCTCCAGGAGGCCAAAAAGAACCACGCCCTTGAGCTTGAAGCTGCCGCCGAATCAGCCAGGGTCCAGGCAATTGCCCAGGCCCAAGTGGTTGCCAATGCCAAGGGAAAAGGGGCCCTCCCGCCGGCAGGAGCGGCCAGGCTGCAAGGGATCGCCCAGACAGCAGCACGGCAGCAGGATCGGCTCAAGCAGACCAAAAGCGAGCTCGAGGCAGCTGAAGCCCGCATACACGAGCTCCAGCAGTACTCCAAGCTTGAGGCGGGCGCTGCGCAGCGTGCAGTACAGGTCGCATACCACGAAGCAGCGGAGCTGAGAAGCACCAGCGAGGAGCGGCAGATCCCGCACGAGGTGCAGGCATTGCAGTTCGCCCTGCTAAGGACTAGAGCAGAGGAGGAGGAGATTGCGAAGGCCAGCCTGAAGGACAAGGAGGCAATGCGGGCGGAGCTCGAAGGCAGTGCTGAGCGAATAAGGTCGAGTCTCACCCGCCAAGTCATGATAGAAGAAGCGAACGCACATGACTTGCAGCTGCACACAGAGAGCCTGCGACAGGAACTGAGCAGCTACGCGGTGCAGCTGAGCGAGCAGAGGTCTAACGCAGAGGTGCAGGAGCAGGCGCTGGAGGAGGAGCTCGCCCAAGCCCTCACCTTCAGGATCGCCAGCATGGAGGAGGCCTCCGCCATGGAAGACTTTGCCAGCCAGCAGAGGACGGGCAGGGAGGTGGCCATCCACCTCGCGCTGCAAGAAAGCCTCCAGCGCTCCCGCACGCTACACACCGAGCTCGACGCCATCGCAAAGAAGGAGCAGCAGGGCGCGACGGAGACAGAGGAGTTAAAGCTGAGAACGCAGAGCCTGGAAGCCATTGCAGCCAGCAGGGAACGTGAACGCAAAGCCATGGTCAGCCTGTACGCCGAGATGAGGCAATACGGGCAGGAGGGCTACGACTTCACCAAGAGGGCAGCTCATCACCTCGTCCAAGGGGGCCACCTCCCAACGTCCCAAGAGTCCATGGACGACTACCAGGAGGCCGCCGACCTGCACGAGAAAACCAGATGAGCAGCCCAGGCAGCAACCGCCCCAGCGGAGCCCCCCGTTGCGACCAATCTCCCGACTGGTGCAGCCGAGGAGCGCCCAGCCAATAGGGACCGTAGGCAGAGTAGCTCCTCGCCTCGGAGGCCAGCATCAACCAGGTCAGCCAGATCAGCAGCCCGCCAGACCGACGAAGGCGATGTACCCCCCAGAGAGCGTGACAGGTCCAGGGGCCCCGACAGGCCAGACCCGCATGAGGAGGCAGAAAGATACGAGCGCGAACAAGATGATTTGCGCAGACAAGATGCTGAGGAGAAAGCACAATGGGAAGCCGTACAGATGGAGGAGGAGCTGGAGTCCGTAGTGAGGGACCACGAGGCGGAGGAGATCCAAAGGCGCTACTACGAGGAGGCCCCCTTGACCCAGTTCGGCACTGTGGGCACACAGGACTCCCGAGTGGAGGACGACGGCTCGGAGCACGCGCCGATGATCTACCCCGCCAGCTGGCCGCCCTGGAGCCAGGATCACCCCGCACCCGAGGAGGGTGAAGAGATGAGGGGAGTCACGCAGCACGAGGCAGACACAGACCTGGCATCCACGTCAAGGGCTAGCTCGGTACCAGCAGAGCAAGGCGACCCTCCTACTCCGACAGCATCTCAGGTGATCTTCATCCCAGCATCGCCAGCGCCACTCAGCGAGAGGTCACTCACGCCCACAGTTCCATTCGGGCATGATGAGCAGCGCGGCCAAGGAGGTGGAGAGGGAGCCGACAGCTTCGTATTGACCCCTCCCCCTGCATCCCAGCAGAGCGCGGAGGCGGCAGCAGCCAGCATCGAGAGGCAGTGCGAGGGCATTGACATCCGAACGCGCCAGCACACCTCAGCCGCCGCCGCAGCTGCAGCCCTTGAAGAGGCGTTTGGACCCGCGCCCGCATTTCCAGGAGAAGACATCAGCCAGGCCCACAAGGGTCAGCGGGTATACTCTGGAGAGTCAGGCATAGCACGTTTTCGTGGCCGAGTGGCCCGCAGGAGGGACGAGACAAGGGGCACAGCAACCCCCTCCCCTCCTGCAACTCCTGGAGCCGAGGAGCAGGCAGCAGCAGCGCCCGCCGAACCCCCCCGAGGGGGGGAGGGGGCCTAGCAGCGCCGCCAGGCTTCAGGTCATGCATGACAGAATTCACTGCCAGGAGGCGGCCGATGAGTCCAACAGGGCAGAGCACGACGGATGTGGGCTTCCTTCACGCTCTCCGATCAGTTCGACAGCATCGATCTCCTGTGCAGCATTGGGGAGAGCAGCTTGGGGCCCAAAGCCCGCAGCACGGCAGTGGGGTCCTCCACTACGATGCTCGACCTACCCACCACCAGAGGCCTGAAAGCACGGCGGGCCCTGGGGTTATTTGCGACAGCCGTCTAGTAACACATAGACCAGCAGAGATTGCGACAGTCTCACACACCAGATCAGATACTTCCAGGAGTCCAGGGTCCCGAGGGGCCACGACTCCAAGCAGACGCGTTACCGCAACTGGCATTGGCAGTGGGAGGGCCACTCCCAATCGCAGCAGCCAGCAACAACAGCGGTATCAGTCACCTGGGTCTCGAGGGGCCAACGTGACACCACCACGGCCGACACGAGGGCCGCCCGCCGCGTCTCGAGGGGCGCTAGGCGGCAGCCAAGGAGGCACACTACCAGGGAGGAGTGATGCATCCGCCAATCTGTCAGCACTTCAGGTCACAAGCCACCAAGATGGCCGCAAGGATGCGTTACCGGCTGCCCTTGCACTCAGCGTGTCCCCCTTCCGCCATCCGAGTCCACGAGATCGAGAACGTGGAAAGGACCTTTCTCGACGGACAGAACTCGACTGGCAGCGAGGCCGAGGACGGCATGGAGCACTGTTACGAGGAGTGGAAGCAAGCGCGCGCAGTCGCAGCCTTCCGATCAGCCCAGCGGCGAGCACGCCGTGCACGGCGCGCTGCGGAGAGCCACAGTCGTCGGGACGACAGCAGCACCCACAATAAGTACCGTGCCCTGGTGATGGATCAGGGACACAGTGCCCGCACCCGAGCCAGCCGCGTCAGCGACCAGCAGCAATCAAGTGGTCAAGAAGGCAGCCCAACTTGGCGGTTATGCACGGGGTCACCTCACATTGCAAGGCCGCTGACGAGCGGATCTGCTCCCCACAGAGACGAGCAGATGCGGGGGCGTTCCCCCTTGCAGGTGCGAAGGCCTGGCTGCAAGCCTCCGTCGGGAGGGTGGTCGATTCCTTGCTCCCAGGCCAGTGGCTCCGTCCAAGGGCACTTGAGGCAGGACCCCAACAGCAGCTACACTGGCAGTTGCACAGGGTGGAGACCAACGACTCGGCCACCACCCAGCAGCAGCACAGACAGCATCCCACCCACGGCAACAGCACTGCCTGATGTAGAAGCCAATCCTGCCCTAACTGGCACCCTGACGCCAGCCCAGCGCGCCAAGCCCCAACACCCACCAACTGGGCAACCTGAAGACCTAGCTGAGCCCGAGCAGCACACAGTGCCTACCAGGGCCTGCTTAAGCTGGCGCGCCAGCGCGGGGTCGCCTCACACTGTAAGGCCGCCGACGGGCGGACCTGCTCCCCAGCGGGCAGAGCAGCTGCGGGATCAATCCCCCTTACAGGTGCGTAGGCGTGAGGGCATGCCTCCGACGGGAGGGTGGTCGAAGCCGTGCCCTCGCGCCAGCGATGTCGTGTTGGGGTGTCCAACCAGGCCCAGCGACATTCAAGCTTACCCAGCATCACCAGTGGCCCCAGTCCCGACGGACCCAAACAGCTCACCACGGCCAAACAGGTGGAAGCCAACGCTCCTCTCGGCATCAGCTCGCTCCCACCACGGCACGGGTGCTACCAATCACCCAGACGCCCTGGATGGCGAACCTCATCGTCTACGTGACAGCATGCTCCACGCCCAATCACGCGAGCCCCTGTTCAGTCAGGCCGCGCGGGCTGGATCGGACAACTTGAACTTCGATGAGGGGAGCCAACTGCCACCACCACTACCCGTGAAGCGGAGTGCGCCTCAGGCCGGGGCCCTACCTCTAGCCCCGCCTACCCGCTCCGCGACATCACAGCCACCTCCAGCCCGCATTACTTGCACACAATGTCCCACTCTACATGGCATGGAACTTGTGCCAGACGACGACGTCGAGTACTCCCACGAGTACGTCAGTGCTGAGAGGGCCAGGCGCGGCCGAAGGCAACGGCAGCTCCCCACCGCGGCAGCACCAGACAGAGGCCAACCTGCAGTGCTGCCAGTTCTCAGCCAAGACCCAGTAGCCGAGACCCTTCGTGGCCGAGGCCGCGTCAATGTTTGCGCCGACGTCGACACCACGACCCTACACAACATGGCAAGGATGGCGCTGGAGATGTGCCCATCACGCGAGCTGCCGACCAGGCGCACACACATCTACACGGACGGCAGCTACAATGGCATCCCACATACAGCCGCCTGGGCAGTAGTCATCGTCGACGAGTACGACGACGGGCGCAACTCACGAGGCCCGTTTGGCTTTCGGGGTTTCATTGCTGACAAGGTCACCGAGTCCCTAGACGACATGGCAAACAACGAGAAGGTGACGGCATACACAGCTGAGCTCACGGCAGTACTTTGGGCACTAATGTGGGCCCTTGGTCAAGACACCGCCGCGCCCATCGAGGTCACGCCCGACGCCCTCAATGTTATCAACCTGGCCAAAGGCGAATCCCAATGCCATGTACATCCGAGGTTGGGGGCCGCCATTCGCACGCTTGCTGGCCTCCTCCAACAAGCCCGACCTACTCAGTGGCACCACATTAACTCGCACATTGGCCACCCTTGGAACGAGCTCGCAGATGGGATAGCAGATCAAGCTTCGGCCAACGACCTGATGGACCCGAACATTGCAGCAGTGCAGGCGATCGCTCACAACAAGTTCCTTTCCTGGGAATGGTTACGCTCAGCGCCAGATGAGGTCAAGGCCGCATACCCTTCCTTGCGGAACCAAGACTTCATCATCGGGGCCACTCAGCCGCAGGCAGCCCCATGTGCGATCCAGAGGCCCATCAGCACCACCACCATCAAGGCCGACCTCAACATGAATTTGTGCACCTACAACTGCAGATCACTCAAGGCCGCCGTCAGCTTCAAGTCGGGCAAAGGCAAGGCGGCCGGTAAAAGCAAGCAGAGCATCTCCAGGGTTCGCACCTAGCAGCACAGTTTGCTGACATGGGCCTGCACGTCGTGGCACTCCAGGAGACGCAGAGCGAAGGAGACGTCCGCAACGTAGGAGAATATGTTTGCTACTCCTCAGGCCACACGCAGCAGAACAGAGGATGCGACATCTGGCTCAACGTCTCCCAGCCGATCAGCGTGAGTGGGGCAGCGAAGTACCTAAGTGCCAAAGACACCCTCGTCCTACACCAGCACGACAGGCTCTTGATCATCAAGACCCGCGTTGCAGGCACAGACATGGTCATCGCCTCAGCATATGCACCCCGCGAAGACTCCCAGGCGGCTGAGAAGAGAGAATTCTGGGAGTCTGCTCAGCGATTGTCTGCCAAGTACCGCGTGGACATCTTCATGGGAGACCTGAACGGGCGTCTTGGTGACTACGAGTCCCCAGGAGTTGGCGCCAGTGGGTACCCAGAAGCGACCAACGGCAATGGCAAGCACATCATCAGCTTCGCTGCCGACACCGACATGGAGGTCATCAACACCACGAAGGATCCAGGCAACAACTCATTTACGCATATCGGATCGAAGGGGCAGCGCCGCAGGATAGACTACATCCTGCTGAGCTCCTCGATCACCCCGTATGTTGCGAGCTGCAGCACGGAGCCAGGTCTTGACCGAGGCACAGCTGCACAAGACCACATACCAGTACTCGCCACCCTCAAGTGGGCCGTCTGCAAGACCACCAAGGCCTCAGGACCGCGGCCCGATCTGACCAACTTAAACAACGAGGTCGCCAAGGACAGCTTTAAGGAGATTCTCAAGCAGGCCCCGATCATCCCCTGGGAGGTGGACGTCAACACCCACTGCGAGGAGGTCACCAGAGTCGTCAACAACGCGGCCATCCAGGCCTTCGGCAAGGCCGTCAAGGCAGCGAGGAAGCCCTACGTCACCAAGACTACCATGGGCCTAATCCGAGCCAGGCGCCTCGCACTTCGAGTCCATCGCGCAGTGCTCAGAGGAGAAGCCCATGACGACCGACCTGGACGACTAGTAGCCCACGCCCACTCTTCTTGGAGGCGAAGTCGGGGCCTCACTGGCCCTGTGGAGCAGAGAGCGTGGCGACGACGATGGCACCATCCACGACATCCACGACTACGCGCACCTCCTCCTGAACTGGACGATCTCGCCCATGGTCTACGCCATGGCCATCCTCTCCTTCCTCGCCAGGTCTGGGCTCCTCGTTGCCTCGGCCGTCGAGAAGGACCGTAGTGCCTTCCTCAGCCGGCTTGCCTCAACTGCGTCCTCCGCCTCCGCTGCGAACGACGCTGCGGCCCAGTGGAAGGCCTACCGCGACCTACTAAGGTATGGCGGGAGGAAGGCGAAGTTCCCAGCAGGAAAGCCGATGCGGCTCGACAAGGACGGAGAGGTGATCCACAACTCCCAGGACATGGCGGACCAGGAGCTCAACCATTTCGCGAAGATACAGGCGGGTAAGATCGTGACAGCGGATGATCTTGCCAACAAGTATAATCATGACAGCAAGACCAGGCCTTTCGACGGCATGCTGGATCTCTCCATGGTGGTGCCCCTGGCCGTCTGCCAGGCCCAGTTCGCTGCGGCCAAGGCTGGGACGCAAGGAGGCCCTGACGGGCTCACGAACGCCGTCCTCAGGGCGGCTCCTACAGAGGCAGCAAGGCTACTGCACCCCCTCTTCACCAAGGTGTCGACCACCGTACGGAAGCCGCTGAGCTTCAAGGGCGGGGACCTGGTCGCAATCCCCAAAGGAAAAGGCGACCCGCGGTACCTCCTAGCGTACCGCGAGATCCTCTTAAACAACGTCCTGGGCAAGCACCACCATAAATACCTGAGGGCTATGCTCACCACTACCCTCGCCATAGCGCTGGAGGACATCCAGGTTGGCGGCCGGCCCAAGCGAGGGGCTGACATGGCGGTCCTAGCAGCGCGACTCTTCACAGAAAGAAGCCAGGCCCAAGGGAAGTGCTCCATGATCAGCTGCTACGACTTAAAGGAGGCCTTCTACTCGGTTGTAGTCCAGCTGGTCCATGGCATCCCAGGCGAGGAGGACGAGGTCAAGGAGGTGCGAGAAAACCTCGAAGTTCCCCTGTGGGCCCAGCCACAATTGGAGCACCTCATGGCCAACCCAGGGATACTCGACACAGTGTTGGACGGCTCCCACCTGGCTGCCCTCATTGCAGAAGGGTACCGCAACAGGTGGACATCGCACAGGTTCTCCCAGAACCTCATGGCGCCGCACAAGGGCACGAGGCCTGGCGTGCCCCTAGCCGACGCGGACTTCAACCTGCTCTTCGGCCGAGTCCACCGCATGATTGACAGCTACCTTGCGCAGCGAGGGCTAAGACCCCAGGGCAAGCCCCTAGACAGCAGCTTCGCATGCGACACCGACCCCACAGACGGACCTCTCCAGGAGCACGAACCTCACGGCCGATCGTTCGTCGACGACCTCACGGGCATGCACGTGTTCACCAGCCCCGATCACATTCAGTCCGAGGCCACGGGGTTCTGCGAAGCCGTCTACTGCGCTACCAGCACCTTCGGCCTCCAGCTGCAGCTCACAAAGACCAAGGTGATGATAGACTTCAGTGGGCCTGGGAGCCGGCAAGCTCGGGTCAGCTTCTATTCCAATGGAGTGCCGAAGATCGAGGTCCCTCTCGCAGAGAGCTACGTCGAGGTTGTCCGCCACCACAAGCTCCTCGGGACCTACGTAACCGACAATGCATCCCCTGGGGTGGATGTCGCAGTGAAGGTAGCCACCGCTGCAACATCCACGAGGCCTCTTCATCGCGAAGTCCACCGTCGCTCAGAGCTGTCCATCAAAGACAAGGCCTACCTAGCCGACAGTGTGGTGCTATCCCAGCTGCTATACAATGCGTCTACCTGGCCAGAACTCACAGCAGGCCAGGCCAGGAATTTCAACAACCAGTATATCGTGAACTACGCTGCCGCGCAGAGGATCACTTGGAAAGTACGACAGAAAAAGGAGGTCACGAACACCCAGATCCTCGAAGGGGTCGACAAGCTGCCCCCCGAGATAGTCCTACGTCTTGAGCGGCTACGACTATTCGGTAGATGCCTCAACTGGGGACCCCTGCACCTCCGCCGACTACTTAGCCAAGCATGGGATGGTAGTTACGGCTGGGTGGCACTGCTCCGCCGCGACTTAGACTGGGTCCGCGACCACACAGGACCTGACGAGCGTGGTGGCGCATACACGCTCGAAGGCTGGAAGGACTGGGCCAGGAACGACTACAAAAGCTACCTCAGCGCAGTCAAGAAAGCTTGCCAACGTGGCAAAGCCCGCCAGTACGATCACGACTACCACGCTCGATGGCGGCTACGACTCCAGCGGTGGACCAACACGGAAGCCATCTCGCCCTTCCCAGACCAGCACTTCGAGCAGCAGCGCAAGTACCTATGCTACCACTGCGGACGTACTGAACTCAGCGCAGCAGTGCTGCGAACCCACATCACCAAGGACCACGCCTCGTCGGGTCATCCTATCTCGTGGGCAACTGGTTCGGTCTGCTACGGATGCGGCATGGATTACCACACCACAAACAGGCTGGTCAAGCACTTGCTGCGAGTGCGCAGGTGCGCTCGACATTGTCGAAAGACACGTCCAGCACTCCTCAGCAAAGCCGAGCTGCAGCACAACCAGCAAGTGGTGCGCGACCAGCAGCAGGCGAACAGAAGGGCGGGCAGGCCCATCGACTGGGCAGAGAAGCCTGCAGTCCCTGCTCGTCCTCCAGAAATACACACGGACGAGGACAGCGACGACAGCAACGGCGGCCACTACGAGAGCCTCGAGCTCCCCTTCATCGAGGAGCCACCACCGCCGCCAGCTGCTGTACCCAGGCCCAGGCCAGCTCGGACTCTATACGTGCTGCATCTGTTCAGCGGCCGTCGCCGAGAGGGAGACGTTCAGGATTGGTTCGACCGTCTCAGCAGTCGGGCTTCATGCGACATACACATGCCCAGCCTGGACATCGCCAACGACCCGACCTTCGGCGACCTGACATCAGAAGTCGCAGTCAACAAGTGGCGAGGCATGGCACAAGCAGGGAGGATTGCAGGAGTCATCGGCGGACCGCCGTGCGAGACCTGGGGCCGAGCGCGCCACCTGCCCCCCAATGACTGCAGGGGTCGCCCACCAAGACCCTTAAGAAGCAGCAACAGCTTGTGGGGCCTTCGCTACCTTTCCCGTCCAGAGATGGAGCCAGTAGCGATAGGCAATCGCCTATACAGGACACAGCTGGAGCTCATGTACATGTGCCTCAACCTTGGAGTCCCAAGCATGCTCGAGCACCCGTGCGAGCCCACCGAGGAGCACTTCGCCAGCCCCTGGAGGCTCCCCGAGACGCGCCACCTCCTGGACCAGCAGGGAGTCGAGCTGATCACATTCGACCAGTGCACCTGTGGAGCGCGTTCGAGGAAGTCCACAAGCCTGCTGGCGGTATCCCTACCAACCCTCCGAGCAGAAATCAGCAGATTGCCTGGAGGCGGGATGTGCTTCCACACGGACTCCTACCACGCGGAGCTGGCAGGCATCAGCGACGACGGCCAGTGGCGCACCGCGGCGGCCAAGGAGTACCCGAACAGGATGTGCCAGGCCATCGCGACCGCACTGGCGAAGCAGATAAGGTGGCGCTTTGGCGATTCGCCTAGCGACGTCCACGGATGGCACATCGACGACGACGTGGCCCACTTCTTCCAGCCGCTCGACCGCTACAAGACCAGGGAGATGGGTCAGGACTACCACCGTGGCCCAGCGAGGCGAGGGGGCGCCCCGACCTGGTTGGAGGAGGCGAGGGAGTGGGCCCTGCAGGACCGACCCGACAAGGCAATGGGCAGGACCACCAACTCGGCGGGAGCTGTTCGAGCACAGGCTGACGACGCGGATCGCGGCGAAGTGCCCTGACGACAAGTACAAAAGGGCCAGAACGCAAGTCCTGAGGAAGCCCCGAGTGCGAGGGAACACCTCAGGCTACGTCGCCAAGTTTTGCACGAGTTGTCAGGACGCAAGTCCTGGGGAAGCCCCGAATGCGAGGGAACACCCCAGGCACACGTCGCCACGTTTTGTAGCAGGGATGGACACGGCCGCCGTACAGCCAGAGCTCAGAGGTACCAGCCAGACTACATGCCAACTACACCAAGTACGAGTCAACGCTGCCCTGGTGAGGCAAGGATCAAACTTCGAGACGGGCTCGAAGGGCGGGGGGGCAGGACGAGGACTGCCCGCGCCTACCAGGGGGGATGGTGAGGGGCAGGGGGGGGGCAGGACGAGAACTGCCCGCGCCCCCGCGGTCCGCCCTAGCTCGCCACCCCCACCATTCCCATGGCGGAGATGGAGCTCCCGAGCGCCCAAGGGCGAAGCATAGGGCAGCGAGACCTTCCTCATCGACAGCAGAAGAATCACTGGGCCTGGGGTTCGCCCCCACCGAGGGCACTGTGACCCCTAGCCATAGCGGGACGAGGTGGGGCCGCCAAGAACCCTACTTGAAGTCGGTGCATGGAGGCCTGAGTGCGCCCACAACCTATTCCACCTACCAGCAACAAGCCGACCCCCAACGACCTGTAACCAGCACGACAAGTACCTCATCGGCTGAGACGAGTACCAGGAGCCTGGGCCCAACACATGACTGGGACGAGGGCCACAGGGTTGGGCACAGCAGAGTCAACAACAATTTCGACCAGCATGACTGAGTCGAGTACCACAAGCTCGAGGGCGACAGAATCATGCTCTACTACAAGACCAACGACCACCGACGTGGCCCAGAGAGGAGGCCGAGTCGTCGGGGTTGGTCACTGCAGAGTCAACCAGAGTTACCTCGACCAGCACGACTGAGTCGAGTATCACGAGATCGAGGACAACATAATCAGGCGGTACCTCAAGATCGTGGACTACCGACGTGGCCCATCGAGGCGGAGGACAGCCCCGACTTCGCTGACGAGGCGAGGGAGTGGGCCGCCAACACCGTCCTCGACAAGGGCCAGGGTAGGACCACCAGTACGGCGAGTTCTGAGAGGGCGCTGCTCTCGAGGCTCGGCGTGCTCGGCCGACGGCGCCTGAGGGGGCCGCGACAGCGGGGTCCCTAGGGACCGTAATGCATCTCGAGGCAGTCCGAGGCTTCTCCCCCTTCCTTTCCCTGTGGAGCCTGGCCCCCGCTCCTCCGCCGCCCCGCGCGCCTGGGCGGGACGGGCCTTCCTCCCCCCTCCTCTGGCGGCGGCTTCGGCCGCCGAGTGGCGCTGCAAGGCGCTGACCTTCATGGCGCGGCAAATAGCGGAAATAGCGGAGGAGGACCAGTGCAAAGCCAAGACTCAACAACGAAGTTGCAATAGAACCTCCCTCCACGCTCATTCTTTATAGGCCCCTACAAGGGTTCATTTCCACTGAGGGAAGTGGCCCGTTGGGAGACAACAGTGCGATAATCTTGAACCGTGCAAGACAGACCACCACTCTGGGGACCTCAACGCCCATAATGCCATTCCAGGGACTTCACCACCGCGAATCAATGCAATTGTCGGCCCTATCAGTTCTACATTTCGCCAGACCACCATTTCTGGGACGTGAACGTCTCGAATCCTTGAAACTCCTGCAATTTTTTACAGCGAGTTTGCGCGGCGCTATGGCGAGAGCCACATTTTGAAAAAGAGCCGCAAAACATGAGGTAAGTGTTGTATGTTTTTAGATGAGTGTGCGCGGCACTAAGGCGATAGCCACATTTTGAAGTCTGGCAGCTCTGAATCTTTCAAACTCTTGCAAATGTTCAAGACGAGAGCGCGCGGCGTTCAAGCGAGAGTCACATGTTGAAAACGGGCCGCCGTCAATCCTTGAATCTCTTGCATGTTTTAGGACGAGTGTGCGCGGCGCTAAGGTGAGAGCCACATGTTTGAAAACGGGCCGTCATCCGTGTGTGAAACGGCCGCCAAGACTGCTAATGTTAGAATCATAAATGGTGAGGAGGTCTGAGGCGAAACGCCCGGCACGCCCTTCCGACCAGTCTCGGGGTGCGGCAGGGAGGAGCTATCTATAAGGAAAAGGAAGGAAAAAGGACTGGAGGAGAGGTCGGTGCAATAGACGCAAGAGGCTGAGGAGGAATGAGGTCAGAGGACGGAGGAAAGAGGAAAGCGGAAAGAGGAAGACGAAGAGGAGGAAGAGCAGGAGGAGGAAGAGGAGGAGGAGGAGGAGGACGACGACGATAAGGGCTTTGGTCATCTTGACCAGACAGGCCGCAGCTTCGAGACTTCGAGGTTTCGAGGAGGAGGAGGAGGGTGAGGACGACGACGAGGAGTAACGCTTCAGCACCGTCGCCGAAGTTCGGCCAGCGTAGAGGAAGGA